TTCTTCAAAAGCCATGCCAGCATCTGGATTTTCTCGTGGGAGGATCAGATCCTGGTGGCCATTTGTTGGTTTAAAAGCCCAGCCCGACAGGACTTGAGGCCAGCTCTGCAAGAAATCAAAGGCATGGTGGTGCGGAGACCAATGCCAGGGCCAGACAGTTTCACTCTATACAAGATGCTTTGCTACATCTGCTTTATTTCATATTTCACTTCTAGCTGCTTTTCTTTTGCTTTTTAACACAGTGAGCTCTTCCCAGAGCTCTTCTGTGAGATTGCTCTGGATGCTTAAAATGCCTGTGATTTCAGGGACACCAGTTCCTGAGGTGTTCTTCTGTAGGAAAAGAGACTTGCAGCAATAATATTGGTGTGTTTATTTTCTACATATAGGGTTGATAGAGCCTAGTGTTCTCTTTCTTCCTGGCATCTAGTTATTCCAGCATATTTTAGTGGTATTAGATCGCCAACAGTAAGCAATGCAAAGGGGTGTGTAGGAATGTGCCCCCTAATGACAGAGTGGCAAAACTAACCTTTGTCCCCCAAAAAAGGAAAGAAGCCCAGAAGTTTCTCTCAACGATTAGGTGAAAAGCAACCTCATAGGGCCTCAGGGACTTCACCAAACACTAGAGAACATCTAATTGGATAGAAGCCAAAAAGTCCCGCCTGAACCATCAGGTAGAAAAGAACAGAACAAAAGAGAAGAGGGGCTTTTGTGAAGTGTTTCTACTAGGAGCAGACCTCTGCACCTGGCTCGAGTTTTTCTGTTTGTTATTTTGCCTTTTATTAAATCTTTTTTGTTTCTAACACCGCAGCAGAAGCCATTCTGCTTATTTTATGCCCCCAAAGCAATAGCTGAGCTATCCTTGGCTGTATTAAGTGTTTTTCGAGGGCTTATAAGAACTGGCCTGAGAAAAACTATTTAATAGGGGTGACCTTTGTGTGTCTGGGAATAATGAGGTGAAGACATGGATCGCTCTCTTTCTGCACAGACAGCAAGTGGCAGCCTTGCTAACATGCTTCCAGGTAATTACTTCTGTAGTTTAGATAATTTTGGTAGATACTTGTGCAATTTATTTGATTTTACTCACTGTTTTGCTGTGGAAGGAGCAGAGGAAATGTTTACCAGGCAGGTATGCCCAGGTTGCTCTCTCATTTCTTTTTCTTATCAGCAAACAGAAACCCACAGCTTGCTGACAGTGAAACCATATGTTTCCTCTTTTTGACAAATCAGTTTTGCAATACGGATAATCCTGGCTGTACCTGAGAAGAGATATTTTGGATTATTTTAATTTTTACATCACTCTCTATTTTTCACTACCTGGAAATGATGTATGTGTTTACTTCTGAACCCAGAGGTTGGGTGAATTAAGAGGTTATGGAGGACACTGTGCTTTAGTGTCTGTCTTTACTTTGACAACAGTTATTTCTCATATGCAATTAACCTGTATGTTGTAGCCAGTGCCATTCTGCACTGCCAGACAGCAGCATCACATTCAGAGATTTTCTGAACACTGGATATCCTCTCAGCATGAGGCCAAGCTGAGAATTGTATTTGTATAAATCAGCTCCTGCTTTACAAAAAAATGCAGAAATAGCTGCAGAAACCGGAATCATAGAACTGTAGAATCACGGGAGGTTTTGGGATGGAAGGAGCCTTAAAGCCCATCCAGTGCCACCCCTGCCATGGGCAGGGACACCTCCCACTGTCCCAGGCTGCTCCAAGTCCTGTCTAACTTGGCCTTGGACCCTGCCAGGGGCAGCCACAGCTGCTCTGTGCCAGGGCATCCCAACCGTCACAGCCAGGAATTTCTTTCCAATACCCCATCTAAATCTACCGTTTCAGCCATTCCTCCTTGTCCTGTGCCTGCAGGCCCTTTTCCAAGGTCCGTCTCCAGCTCTCTCGTGGGCCCTTTAGCCACTGGAAGGGGCTCTAAGGTCTCCCCTGAGCCTTCTCTTCTCCAGGCTGAGCAATGCCAGTGCTTCCACCCTGTCACCGGAGCACAGGGCCTCCACATCTCTAACTGGGGGATTTATTCAATTTTACAGTTTTTCATTTTTACATTTCAGGGTGCCAGTTATGCAAACCAAGACCTGAACATGACGTTTTCTAGATATTTAGAAAAGAAATACAAATCAAAATGTAAATCTGGTCAGCACAAATGTTTGTGTTTTACCAGGCAGAAATGCAGCGTCAGACACCAGTCTCAGCTGAAAACAAAAATAATATTAATTCTATTAATAAGAACAGTAATGAAATTCTTGATTGTAGTAGATTTATTCTGATAAACATGCCTGAAGAGTATTAAAAAAGAAGTCTGTATGGAACATCTGCTTATGTAAGTATAAGGATGGAAGCTTACTTAAACATGATTCTTTGGAGATGTAAGGGTAAAATTAACCCAGCAGAAAAGTGAATGCCATGGCCAACTGCAAAAACATTACAGGTAGCTAATAGTGAAGGACACTAGAGCTCACAGGAAAGTTTTCCAAGAGCATTTTTAGAAGACAATTAATGATTAAAATTAGGGCAAATTTTATGCAGAGAAGCTTAATCTCAGCTTGGTTGAAATTTCAGAAGATCATTCTGGCAAAACTCCATCTGAGCGTTTCAATAAATGCATCTGTGAAAAGCAAAAAGCAGTGACACATTTAAGTTTTTGGCTTTAGTGGGAAGAAATGGTATTGAGAGAAGAATAGCGTATTTTAAAAGACGAATAGCGTTTCTCCTCTGCACAAGTGCAGGTACATGAAGTCGTTGATGAACTTTCAGCTCAGGTACAGAAGGTTTTGGATGTGTAGCTCTCATTGAGAGGTTCCAGCCCCAAATACATTCATATGGGAAAGATTCTCTGGGCATGATCCCTGATGCTGTTCAGCCCAGGGCAAAGCATGGAAATACCCACATTTTCAGGGGATACTGACTAGTAGACATTTCTGTAGAGCTCAAGTGGAGCAAAAATAAAATTTAAAGCCCACAGCTGAGGAATGGTGCAAGGATGGGGCAGGGAAGGTTCAAAACACTCCAGCAGCTACAGCTGCACGTGTTACTCAGGATGGTCAGTGCTGGATTAAATGAAATGTGTTTTGAAAGAAAGGATCCAGTGCCAAATTATTTGTTCTTTGGAGAACAAAGAGTGAACAGCGAGTCCAGGTAAACTCGCAGGTGTGCATCAAGTCCAATTCAGCTCTAATTACTTTTTGCATCTTGTCCAGCTACAAGAGTCACCAATGTGAACTCTAATAATGTGGTTTGATGTCTAAAAATAGCCTTGAAATTGTAAAATGACAAAAATAAAAAACAAAAAACAAACAACTATATGTAAAATCTTTATTTTACAGATTAGGACAGTGTATTCTCATGGTAAACCACAGAGTGATTAAAGTGATTAAAATAAAAAGAAAAGCCCAAACTCGTAACACTCATTTGGAGTGAGGAGGAATTGTTCAATACATCCTGTATGTTCCAGGAATGGGATGTGGGCAGGAAGAGGTGAAGAGAAACCAGTCCTATAGAAAATATTTGCTCTCACTGAGGCCAATTGCTGCTGTAGTAAGTGGCTGAAAGAAGTGGCAAAACAAACAGAAATAATCAGCATGGAATTAAAGAGCTGTGGTTTTAAAAGCTAGTGCTTGGTGCATATTTACTCAGTAGATTAGCCTAGTAATTGTCACTGGGACTTCTGTTTGGTCTTTTGCTGAGATTCCTTTGGGTTTGTTTTCCAGGGACAGCGAGTTTAAGATCATGAATTGGAGATAGATAGGTGGGATGCCTGCCTGCTGTGGTACGATCTAGGGGCTTAGCAACAATAATGACATGGGGGAGTTTTAGCATTCAAAATAAAATAGATTTGCTCACAACATGTGGTTCTGTCAGGATGTTCTCACGGAGGCTGTAATTTCTTTTTGCCTGTAGATGTGGAAAATATATTTTCCCCATTTTAATATTTTTGTGTGTGTCATCATAGTGCTTTCAGCACTGTGCCTCTGAGTTTTCTCAAGTCATTTGGAAATCCAGTGAAAAACAGGGAACTTGGGCTCTGATGCAGAAGCAGTGCTGGTATTCTGTAAATGTTAAAAATACCCTAGTTTCTAGATTCTGTCAAAGCACACATGCAGACTCAGAAAAAGCATTTGTTACCTTTGAAGTCATCTATATGTTATATGTTGTTTTAATCACCTCTCATTGAAAGTTTTGTTTAAAATTGCTGAACAAGGAATGTTGTGACAATAAAACGTAGTGTATGAAGTTAAAGGCTAGCATGAGGGGGCCAAGGCGAGAACTGCTCCATAGCTCAAAGAGCAACTGTATAAACAACAAAGTGATAGAAAAGTGGAATGAACAAAAAATTTATTAAAAATTAATGATTTACTGTAAAGCAGACTTTGTCACTTGAAAAGGGAGATAAGTTATATGTGTATGTCCTTCTATGCTCTTCCCTATTGTTTTGACCCTGCTGGCCCCTTTCAGCCAAGCCAAGCAGACATGCAGTGCTTTGTAAAGGTAAGAAGTTACAGTCAGATCATGCCAAGATGCTACCAAGTAGGCTGAACTGCACGATCAGTTCAGTAGATCTTGGAAATTTGTGTGGGGGTAGGCACGTAATGAATACTCCCAGCCAGCCTGAGCACTGAATTAATCAGAATCCAACAACACAGGGATCCACAGGGGCCCGTGCTACTCAGAAATTACTTTTTTTTGTGGGTTTTTTTTTTTTTTTTTTTTTTTTTTTTTTTTTTTTTGTTTTAGTGTTCAGCGTGTACGAGTCTGAGCAGATAATGTCAGAACATCAGTTGCTCTGTGCCGGGGTGCGGCAGAGGAGCTGTCGGATGGCGCTGATGGAGGGTAGCCGCGGGCTGATGCTTGGCAGAGCAGCCAGCATCGGCCACCCCGAGGTCCGGCGTTTGTTTTGCCCATTGACTGTGACTGATTCACAGTCTGGTGCCGGTAAAACCTCAGCGGACGCCTCGCTGAGTTTTTTTTTTGTTTGTGTGTTCGCTCCGCAGGGCAGTGCCGCCGGCTGCTCCCGCCGCCGCTCGGCTCCCTGCGCGTCCTGCACGGCAGCGGCACCGACGTGGGCACCGTGGTCGCGTTCCGGTGCTCGGCCGAGCTCCAGCTGCAGGGACCGGACATCGTCACCTGCGTTTGGAAAGGGAACGGCACGCAGTGGACAGCCGGAGTGCCCTCCTGCAAGCGTAAGGCTCTTCCCAAACCGTGCCTCTCCCTCTGGGATGGGGTGCCTTCATTTTGTCCTGCCTATCCTGTAACGTTAGGGTTCTTTCTAGATGCCTGTGCAAAGGAAAAGACAAATTAAATTTTCTTCAAAGTTGCCCCACTGATGGTAATTCCACTCCATATATGTTCTGACATGCCATTATCACGACACACAGAAAAGATTCTGTTGGATTCATCTCTGATCTCATGTCCCTGGTAGCACCTGGAATAACTCTGCCACTAGCTAAAAGCTGTGTGCTTCTTTAGAGAATGTATGGTGTCTCGGTTTAGAGACAAGTTTAGGAGAAAAACACTCTGGAATGAGTGTTTCCTCTAAAAAAAAAGGGTTCCAACGATCCCTTTCCACCAATAAGAAATGAATACTAGTGGATGAAAGTGAAAAAACCAACCGTTTATTGACAAACAGACTGCCCACACGACAAGGGAGAAAAAGTAAATAAATGCTAGATATTGAACTGTCAGACCTTAACACACACACCCTCCCGCCCCGGGGGAAAAAAACCAAAAAAAACACTAGGAAAAAGAACCAAAGACCCCACAACTCCAGAGCAAGATAAAACCCCACAACAGCCGCTGGGGAGAAAGATGGTACCAGTTCCTGCCTGGGAGGCAGGAACTTTCTCCTTTTTTGGGAGAAAACCAAAAGGTTCCCGCAGCAGCTGGCACATACAGATGGGAAGCCGGTGCATCTGTGCTGTTGGTCCCTTGTCCCCAGACACAAGAGGTGAAGCAGGTGTGCTTTTCCTCCCTGGTTCGGGCTTTTTCCCAAATCTGGGGCCAAAAAGGAGCAGCCCCTCTCTCCCGCCGGGCCCGGCCGATTCTTCTCCTGGCGCTTGTTCTCCCTGATCTTGGGCCAAAACCGAACCGTCCAATTCACCTCGAAAAGCAGCTGAAGGATTGCTGCTGCAGCCTATCCAAGCCCAGGAAAAAGAAAGAAAAGAAAAAAAAAAAAAAAACAACCAAATTTCCGCCTGGGCTAACAAAAAAATCGAAACTAGCCGAGCAAAACCCAGACTGCACCACAGCTCCCAGACGTGGGGAGAGTGAGGCTTTGAAAAACCCAAGGCTCCCCCTTCCCCCCAGACCCACCTTAAAGACACAGCAACCATTCTGGGGTGTAAAGCAGAGGATCAGGGAATAGACCATCATCATAAATCACCCCAGCACTATGGGAATGACCTACTGATGTGCGAGCGTATTTGTGAACCTCTTCTCTCCTGGCAGTCTTTTCTGACAATGTTTTTGCTGTAAAAGAAGAATGGTGATATTTTTTTAACAATTCTTGGTTGTTGCAGCTGCATGGGAAATTCACCATATAGAGAAATAGTGTCTGAATGACAACAGCATTAACTACCTTTTAGCTGTGTTTCTGCTTGTTTATTATAAGGTTGTTAATAGTTTGACCAGAAGTAGACCCAAGCAAAACTTGGTACCTCTGAGCTTTGAGGTGCCTTAGACCTTGTGTCATTTCAAATCCCCAGTGGATATATTGCTCTTACAGACACTTAGTGCTCTCTCCCACACTCAGCTATTCTTACCTCTTCTTTGGAGATCCCATAAAAGAAAAAAATGAGATAAATCCTTCCCCTAGAGGCTGCAGAAATATAATGCTTTGTGTGGAGCTCAGCTGAGCCATTTGTGATGCTGGTCATTGTGACATTGGGAGAACTAGCTGAGTTTTGAAGCAAGAGGTGCTTACTGCTCCAAGTGAGTTGGCATTATGAGAGACGTGCGTTAGCTGTGCCACATCACATTCCTACTCCTCCTTTTGTCTGAATAATTCACTTCCAGCTTCAGATCCCTATGAACATTCAGCCCTGCATGTCACTTCTTCCATCCTGCATCCTTCCCCAAACAGAGGAAGACCTGTTGTTTGCTGCAAAGAGGATGTAATTACATGGAACTGTCCTTGCTCTAAATGGCTTCTTTAAGCTCATTTACCTGTGTTTGTATTCATTTCTGTAGCTTCAGTTCTTGTTAATAAAGAGTCTGCAGCTCATCTGCATTTGATCTGCTGGCAGACTTGTGCTTTTGAGCTACTGCAGTGCTAAGGGCACTGTGTTTAATTAATTGCAGTGGTGAAATGCTTGTGAACAGTTCATTAGTAACTTATAAACAGGAGGTTTTTACACAGTCCGGTTTGAGGCTTGCATACGGTCAAAGCTGAAGCCAAGAATCTCTGGTATCTTGACACATAGTAATGTGAAAGTCCTCACTGAGCAGAAGTGTGAAGCAGGCAGGTTTCAGCGTGGTTTAATGAAAATGTGAAAGATAAATTCATGGACTGATCTTAGAATCGTTTCTGTCTTTGCTTTGCTGCAGCCATATCAAAATACGAGACTTTTGGCTTTAAGGTCGCAGTGATTGCCTCCATTGTGAGCTGTGCTGTCATTCTGCTGATGTCCATGGCTTTCTTAACTTGCTGTCTGATCAAGTGTGCGAAGAAAAGTGAGAAGAGGAGAGCTCAAAGGTATGTCAAGAAGACAGTTTTAATAACAGTGTAAGAGTGTACATCATATGGACCCCATTGCTGTGATAACAAGTGCTTCAAGGGATTTGCTGCTTGCAGCACTGAAATGATGTTAATTACTTAAAATCCTTAATTTGTAGGTCAGGCTTTAGGCATAGAAGAACTTGGAATTCCAGAGTATTTAAATACCTGATGCCTGTTAGTATCAGATAACCTCAGCAGGCCTAGGCAGATAGGGATTTACCCAGGATTATGCAGGAGCTGAACACACAAATCTTATTTTCTGGCACAGCATTGCTCTCCTCAAGTTATTGAAGATTGGCTGTGTTTCCCCTTTTCTCTATTTCTTTTCTTTTTTCCTTTCTTTCTTTGAACACTGCTGGGAAATGGAATCTCCCTGTGTCAGAGCCATCCAAGGCCTCACCATCTGCAGAGCATCCTCAAAGCTGCCCCAGCATGCGGCTGAAGGATGGAGGATTTTGTCTTCTGGCTTGGAGCACAAATCATTGGATTATAAACAGGAACAGGAAAATGCCAAATTTTCAGTCCAGTTCATTATAAAAACTCAGTGTGGATAGTGCCAGCAGGAGCACATTTGCCTGTAGGCTGGAGCCAAGCTGCTGTTGCCCATGAGAGCATCCACCTTCAGCACTGCTGCAGAAAGCTTTCCGCAGGAACTTGGTTTCCGTCTCACTTTTCTTGCTGGTTATTCCCACCAGGCCCTCCAGTGGAGTGGAGGGAGACTGGGGAAGACAGTAGTGAAGGTTTCTATGCTGAGCTGTGATTTATCTGAAGCTGTGTGGGAACCAGCTGAAGGGGGAACTTCTGTCATTTGAAATCCAAGTGTAGCCAAAATAGAGATTTTCTGTTTCTCTTAAAAGATTTTTTTTGTGTCAAAAAATGAAAGTCCTTAGTGTCAATCATAATATTCAGGTTTTTACTGGTAGCATGAAATAAGTTGCTTTGAAATGAAGGGTTAATTGACATTTTTGGAATTGCCACTTTTCTTTTTGATAAGACTATTCATATCACAGTCCTTGTTTTTCATTTATTTTAAATGAAGTTTTGTAAAAACTAGCCATTCTCATTATTGTGATGACTTGATATTTTTTCTCTTACCAAAGAAAAGCCCTTCACACTGGACACAATGACCTGATTCTGTCATCAGGCTGTAAAATTATTCATTTTGCTGAGACCTTGTCAGTTCCCTACTCCCTTGTGCTTCTTTCCCTGTCTGCTGAAGGAGCTGCTACATCCCATTGGCAACAGAGCCCAGCTCCAAGGAGAAACCTGGGGGCACTGCAGGCATTGTGTACCTTATCCCTTCTGTCAGAAAGAATTGAAGTCATGTACAACCTGTCCAAGTCATGGGAGAAAAAGTAACATAACCCTGTGCAAAACTTGTCAGGTGGAGTGGCAGCATCTCTGTTGGTAATGGAGGTGGAAAAGTGGATTGACTTCTGAATGCACAAATCATTAATCTGACAAAAAGCTGCAGGCTTGATAACTTAATACAAAATGGGAACTCTTGGGGAGGAAATAATGAAGTAAATGTCTCTTAGACCAGATCTGAAAGATGAGGTAACCTGTACCTATGGAGCAGAGCGGATCTCCTCACCTTGCCTGTAGCTCTGAGATCTGCATGTCTGCTTCTTTTGGCTCTTACTTGGTCACCGAGAGATCATCTCTGCCTGCAAACCTGCCTTGCATGGTGTGCAGTGATCTTTGAAGTGCCATGTTTTGTTTAATAGAATTATAGAATCATTAGGATTGGAAAAGACCCTTAAATTGAACTGTCAACACAGCACTAACACCATGTTCACAGCTAAACTGCCACATCCACGTGTATTTTGAAGAGAAAAGGGATGAAGGCTGCTGAAAGTCCTCCCACCATTCAGCCTCCTCATAGATCTCGTCCTGCTGAGGAAGTGTGGCTGCTGTTTTCTTTGGAAAGAGCAGGATTGCATCCCAAGAAGACAGAAATGGGACCAAAATCAGCATCGCCAGTTCACAATTTGATCTTCTCCCATCAGCCAGTGAGAGTGTTTGTGATTCTGTGAGTCTTAGACTTCTTTTAAAAACAAGAAAATAAATGGTGGATTTTTTTTTCCTCGCCTTAGAGTTGCAGAGAGCAGCATGAAAACAGCTCTGAATATTTCCAAAAGAGAATTCTGACAGTGGGGGAATATGCCCTGTGCTTAACAAAGGCAACACTACCTGTCTCCTCCATTTTTAAGTAAATATCTTTTTAACCTGCCTGGTGATTTTGGAAACATTAAGAATAGCAGTGATGCAAAAAGTCACAGAATTTTTTTTTTCCTGAAATAAGTTATCCCATAAAATGGAGATGATATGAAGTCTTTTCACACACAACAGGTTGTGGCCTGATGTCACTGTTGAAGGTCCATTAGAACACAGACACATCATCCCACCTTATATGACTTTTCTTGCTACATGTAATCTGGAAAAACACGGAATCAAATGGACATAATTATTGGAGGTTTGTTCCTTTGAACTATCCACTGGTGCTCATAAGAAAATTGTTCTCATTTTCTTGTTTGTTTGCTTTTGTTTTTGAGGAGTGCTGGGCAGTACTTAAAATAACATTATTTTACACAATAATATTTATGCTATTGAAGAACTCCCTGTCCTAGGGTGTTATTTAAATCTCTGCAAGTTTGGCTTACACATGAATTTCAGCACGTGTTTAAGTGCTTTCTTCAGTACACCTGGAATGAGATTTAAACTCTAGTGAGTCAGGTCTGTGGTCAGATAACAGCTCAGCTGTACAGCCATATGTCACAAAACCGTTTCTACTGCTTCGTATATTCACAGAGAAATGCAGCTGTGGTACCAGCTGAGGACTGAAGAACTAGAGCACATGCAAGCTGCTTACTTTGGTTTTAAGGGAAGAAACAATAACAACAACAGTAAGAAACTCAGGAATACATCTGTTTTTGGTGATGTGACTGACATGGCATATGATAACCAAGGCTTCTACAGGTAAGGCTGCTAAATAAAGGTTTGAATGAGTTGATGGGAACCTGGCTAATCACTAACCAGAGCTAAAACCAGCTATGAGAGCAGGTATATCAGTCTGTGCACCCTTAGCCAAAAGTAAGCTGTTTTGCATATGGAGAGTGGGCAGTGCTTGTAATCAGAGATGGAAGTGTCATGAAAGGTGATTCTGAATAAAACTGTCCTGGAATTGCTCTTGGAGCAGATGGGACCCTTCCTTATTTATACCTTGTTCCCTTTTTCCACTCAAATAAGAGCTGTTTAATGAAGTAATTTCAAGTGATTTCTATTCTTTAACTCTGTAAAATGAATAGACATGCAAGGTGAGATGGGGGACTTCTGCTGATAGATTTCATGAAGACAACAAATGCCTGTCAGTTTTGTATTTCACTTACAAGATTTTTTTTTAGTGTGTGTAACAAATTAGGCTAAGTTTCCTCATCCTGTGTCCATCTGGCTTACTGGGAACAGGAGAATGGTGCAGGCACTGGGGAGGTGCAAACATGGAGCTGGGCTGTGCTGGGGGGACCAGAATGGAAGGATACATTACCTGTCTGCCTGATTGCTGTGGTACCATTTCCCCTGCAGTGTGAGGTGGGAATGTTGGCAGCCTGGAGGAAATCTCTAAACCTGGGTGCAACCACTGTACTGATTGTCCAAAGAAAAAAATACAGGCACGTGGCATGGCTGGACAACAGCAGCAAAACTGAGGGCAGGCAGTCCCAAAGGAAAGATTCTATATAATTCTGCATATCCATGGTCAAGAACCAAGAGAGAATTTAACCAAGATTCCTTCAGGCTTGACATGAGTAGGCATTTGTGTACCAAGGGGGTGGTCAGACCCTGGAACAGGGTCCTGGAGAGTGGGTCAGTGCTGGTGGCCCAAACTGGCATTGCTCAGGGGGCATTTGGACAATGCCCTTAGTAACGAGCTTTAGTTTTTGATCAGCCCTAAAGGGGTCAGGTGGTTGGACCCAATGATCCTTGTGAGTCCCTTCCACTGAAATATCTCAGTCTAGTCTATCAGCACCCTATCCCTATTCTATCCTACCCTATCCTCTTGTGTTAAGGTTTCAGACATTTGGAGGAACTTCCCAATGCATCAAGAGATCTCCAAGCACAGCAGCAATCCTGCTTGGTTTTGCTAGGCAGGAGCTGTCTGAAGAAGCACACATCTTCTCCTCCCTGCCTTTTCCAGGGCTGTGGTACGTGCTGTTTTCTGCAGCCCAGCCATGGAAAGTGGCTCTGCAGCCCACGTAGAAGGGGAAGATGAGATGAATGCTGCCCATGTCTGACAAGGGAGGGGGTGGGGGCCTTACAAATTCAGTCATTTTTATGATAGCTTTCTCTCTTTTCTCAAAGAAACTGTTCTGCTGCTTCTTGTAGCACATGAAGTATCTGGAAGAGTAAGAACTCCTCCAGCCTTGAAGAAGACTCTCTTGAGTATGTCTTAATTTATTTTTGACTAGAAAAGCATGTAGGTCATGCTGCTTTTCAGACTTAATTGAATAGGTTTTGAGATTAACATTTTGGTTCTGTACTGTAGGGTCAAAATACTGTAAGAAGAGATAAAATAAAAAGCTAATTCTTTTAGGTAAGGCAATAGAAAATAAAAATTCAATTCTTTCAAGTAGGTAAGGTATTAACAAATACAGATTTACAAAACAAATACAGGTTTGCAGACAAATTTAGGATTTAAACACTAATCAGTTAAAGAGGGGCCTTAGTATGCTGGCAAGATAATTTTGGCTGCAGTGAAGCGGCACAATGTGGGTGCAGAGTGCTGATGTGCAGAGGTTATAAATAACAGAGAAGCCCAGCTGTGTGACTGTAGGGGCTCCACTGTGCTGTTCTGGACCTGGCTGCCACAAAATGAGAACTTTCCCCCCTCATGTTTGAAGCATATCACAAACATCATGAATATGTAGTTTTGCAGGGAAACATTGAATTTTAGTGGCAACTGCTTTAATTATAATGATCCTCATTCTGACTGCTTTTCTGGTTGAACAAATTGCTTTAAAGTGATAAGAAATATGTGTACAAATACCCGGGATCATTAACTACAGAGTGCCTCACTCCAGATACCACCTCTTTCATTTGGATGTAAAAAATCATAATGAGGATGAACATACCAATTTTTAGCAGAAGATCTTATATGCATGAGCTGCAAGTATTTACAGCGTATTTGCTCTATTATATTATTGAAAACACTCCATAATGTTGAGCAGGGAAAAACAAGTTACAGATTATGGTGCTGCTGGGAGGGAGGTGTTCCCCCAGCATTGCTTCTGAGAAGTTCAGAGAGCAGAGATAGCAGTTTTCTCTGTGGTGCAGAAGTTTGAGCCAGATTAGCTGAAAACAAGGGTCTGTGTCTAGGGAAGGGAGATTAGCTGCAGCCCTGGGCCATGTAGTTAGAGGAGAACAATGTCCATGAGCCTCCAAGCAGTCCCCAGGAGGACTGCTGGGCAGAGGGCTTGTCAGCACGTTGGCAATGGCTCTCAGAGCCTGACTGCAAGATGTGCCGGGATGTGTTGGTTTTGACTCAGTTATTTTCTGATGAAGAATAATACTTGACCCTGCAGTAACTCTTCTCTGGAGCACTTCTTGGGCACTCACCTCCCGAGACAAACAGCCCTCTGCCATCCCAGCAAGCAGCAATGTGGGAGAGCTAGGACCAGCCATCTGCCCGAGACAGCAGGTTGTCTTCTGCCCCATGACAGGCACAGGGTAAAATATCAGTAAAGAGAAACTTAATGGCAGCTGTCCTTCCTCTGTGCCAGCTGCTAGTAGTGTTTGAGAGATGGAGGTGAAGGTCACTGAGATACTATGTTAAAGAAATGGGTGTCCAAAAGAAGAGTGGGGGTTAGCTTAATGCTGACAAGGGCTACACTCACCCACTGCTCATGGTCAGCTGCAGCTGCTCCCCAGGTGAAGGTGTTCCAGGGCTTGACAGCTCTTTGTGTGAAGAATTTTTTTCCCAATATCCAACCTAAACCTCCCCCAAAATGACAGAGCTTAAAAAGTGCCTTCAGTTTTCAGCAAGGAGGCAAAGCTTCACAGCAAACTAGTGCAACAGCCTTAGCAGAGCTGTTGCTCTAGGAATACAGGGTGAGAAAACACAAATAAGCAATTGCTCTGATAAACACCATTGCCAATTTTTAAATCTATAAAGAATTGTCCTGTCCATTGCTGTAATGTACATCAATTACATTTTAAGCCTCCATTCAGGAAGGGGGCTGTCCTGTGCTTGTTTAAGCAGTTTGTAGCATTTACACTTGTTCTGTAAGTGAAGCCATCAGTTCTATAAAAACACAAGGAAATGGAAATGTTCTGTGCCAGAAATGGGATCCTGAATCCAACTGGAACCACTTTTGGTCTGACAAAATATGCACAACCTAGTCTAACATGGTGAGAGCAAACAGCAAACCCTTCTGGCATTAAGAGGCATTAAAAAACCAGGCACTTCTCTTTTGGAACCTATTTATATATCAGCATGTGTAGAAGATACCGTCCCAGGTGCAGCACAGATAGCAAGTGTAAAGAAATCACTGAGAGAGCTCATTTCAGTTTGCATCATCTTCCTAGTGATGGTCAGAAATAGCCACACCTTGGCTCTGTTGCTCTGCTTTTCAGTGTAAAAGTCCTGTAACCTGTTCTGGAATAGATACTCCCTTGACTCAAGGGATGTGCTGATTTTTTGTAAGGGAGAATTGATGATCCAGCATTTTCCATACTCAGGAGAACTGAATGTAGCTGTACACTAGCTCCTTTTCATTCTCTGTCAGCTAAGATGACAACCAGAAAAAAAAAAGAAGTCCAGCTCAAAAACGCAATCTAAAGAGAATCAAAGAAATTTGGTGTGGGTTTTTTTTTTTTTTTTTTTTTTTTTTTTTTTTGTCTAGCGTGGAAGCATTTGGAAGAAGTTGAGCATTCCAAATTTGGACTGCTTAGAGGTGAATTATTTTTCACAACTCTAAGTCAAGTTACAAAACATTGTCTGTGAAGTAGCTGATCTGACTGCAGAAGCTAGTCAAATGGAAAAGCCCATGTGTCAGTAGGGTTAAAGTCCTCCTTTCAGCTATTCACACAGCTGGAGCATATTACCAAGAAGAAAAAATCCTTCTGCAGAGAAGCAGGCTGGTATATTCTCCCACAGAAGATATTTTTAGTAGCTGAAATTTTTGTACCAGAGACCTTTCTGGCTAAAAGATGCTTTACCATTCTACCTGGCAAAAAGCAAATAAGGGCAATCCAACAACAAAGAATTCCAACTGAAAAGGTTTTGTAAAAAATCACAAAGCCAGCGTGCCATTAGGAGAGGCAGCCCAGCTTTTTCAGCATCACTGTGGGGTTTAATGCTGCATCACATACAGCATCCATTGATACAATTGTATGGAATTGATACAGTTCCCTACACGAAATGTTTGATTGTATGGCAACATGAAGAGGAGGAAACCCAGCAGAGGAGAGGAGCAGATTTCCTTTCCCTTCTTTTCCCTGCTTTTCCCTGTGACTGGTCCAGCCTCGAGCTTCTCTATTCATGGAGTTGTTCTTTTTTTACCTATTGTTTTTCTTGTGCTCTGTGTTCCCCACCACCACCTTTTAGAGGCTCACATCTTCCCAGTACCTTTCGACATGCAGGTTTCAAAGAAAGCTGAGACAGGGAAGGTGAGCTGTGGTTTCACCTTGGGGCCCTGTTAGAAGGGTAGGATAAACTTGCTTTTAAGTTACTCCTATTTCTGAATTTCAGCCTTAATTGTCATCGCAAGAGCTCAAAAGGGGTATGTACAGCAACATGTGCTTTCAATAGTGCTGCTATTACTGTTTTTATAATGCTTTCCTGATTACCCCAGGGTCTTGTACAAAGCCACTAGGCATACAGCAAGAAAAAATCCCCTCCCACCCTCTAGTATAAAAGCTGTTTTGAGACACAGTGCCAGCACCAGGCAGCTTGGTGGCTGCGTTCTCACACATCTCAGATGTCCTGTTAACAGTGTTTTCCCTCCAGCAAGGAGCAGCTCTCAAGTCACAGAAAAATATTCTTGTGAATCCTCTAAATCCCACTGACAAATGCTGTGATGGCTATTCTTCTCCCCTGATGGGAGCTCCAAATTTTGTATGTCAGATAAAGGCTGTCCTTGTCAAATGCATCATGCACTTGGCTGTGCAGCGCCCAGGGCAGGTTTATATTGCCAGGTAAGGGTGCAGAGAAGGGTTCTGATCCTCTTGCTGTGGTGTTTTGAAGTAGCCAGTTGGGAACTGGAGTTAAGGAAAGTTGAACTGCTTGAAAATACAGTCATGCTTATTCGGGACAAAGTACAGAGCTTCCAAGGATGAGAGAGCAAACTGAAGACTGTGTCTGACTGAGGGTCATGCACACAGAACAAAGCCCACTGCCTGCACAGTTGTCCCTGGGTGCCACTGCAATCCTCTTAATAGCTCTTCTCATCCTCTGCTGAGGTGAAGCCCCGCTGGCTTCACTGTCCCTCTGATGTCCTCAGGGTTTAATCTATTGCAGGGAAGAGAGGTGCCTGCTGTTTCGCCCTACACTTATAGAACCACATAATGATGGAATGGTTTGGATGGAAAGGGGCCTTAAAGACTATCCCATTCACCCCCTTGCCATGGGCAGGGACACATTCCACTAGACCAGGGTGCTCCAAGCCTCAACCAGCCTGGCCTTGGACACAGCCACAGCTTCTCTGGACACCCTGTGCCAGCAGATGTCAATGAAAGCTTAATAGTTCCTGAAATGGGAGGAATGGGTTGCTAAGCCAGGAGTATATTTCTTCTCCAAGTACAGTTTTAGCCAGTTTGGGTTCCTGAGTAGCCAGTGGACTGTGGGTAATTGAAGTGTTTCACAACACAGAGCTTCGTAGGGGAAAACATCAGAGTGGGATGACCATTGCCCAGGTGGACCTACTTATTGCTCTAAAACCAGCATAACAAGACTTGAGCTATAATTCTGGCAGAACAATTTGCAAAGACTTTTTTTTTTCAAAGGCTGTTTTGCTGGCCCAGGCAAAACTTTATTCCAGTCCTTCTCTGTCTATGTGCTGATTTGATTTGATTTTTATTTTGACCTTTGACTACCATCTCAAGAAGATGGAACTAAGTTCCTTATACTGTAAAAAAATAAATAAGTGCACAACAGCAAGTATCTCAGAAGATTTTATTTTGGCAGCAAGGTGTGCAGCATTACCCCATGTAGCTTCTGTTCCCTGATGGCAGGTCATGGGGTGCTCAGTGCTCAGGTGAGGCTTTTACAGAGACACAACTCTTTGCCCCGTTGCTGCCAGCTGATTTTGATGCTGGGAGAAGCAGTTCTTTATGTTACAGCACAAGTCATTTGCGAAACACCTGATGTGCCAATAAAATGCACAAATTCTGTACCTTCGCCAGAATTAATGAAACAGAAATAACTTTTCCCTTTGTGCTTACAGGTCCCAGGAAGAGCGGACTCAGGATGTCGTAGTTGGGTGTTGCAAAGACAGCAGTGACCTGCTGAAGGTAGCCAAGAGCAGTGGTGCACCTGGGGCACACATGGTACTGAGACACAACACTGCACTGCAGACGGTGAACTCCATACACGTTGTTGAAGTCTACAGTCATAAGGATAGTTACAACAAACCAACCTGCCAGTTACCTGGATAGCTGGTGTCTGAAATGCAACTGCTTCTCTGGACCAAAATGACACGTCGATAGAAATATGTGCCTTAAAGACAACATAGAAAGTTTATTATTCATATGAACTGTAAGTTTTCTATATTCCAAGATAGTTATTTAAGAGAAATGCTTCAAGGTCTAATACAAATAAAAGATGTGAATATTGGGGCTGTCAATCCAGAGCTGTTCTCTGCAGTGTGCTGTGTAGTGTGACCATGGCGAAAGCATAATGCCCTTCTGCACAGTGTAGAGGCATATTTGCCTCATAGGAAGCTGCTGATAATAATTGCACACCTCTCAGATTCCAGTCTTATCTGAATCAGTGGGTTTTGTAAGAATTTCAGAAAGAAAAGTCCCCCATATTTTTACAAAGTAGAATGATAGAACTACAAAACAAATTTGGTTTTAATTAAATGCCCCATTGTTTTGTATTGGAAAGGTCTTTAATTCATCTGCTCTGTGTTTAGAGACCATGTAAGACTGGGTGCAGCAAAGGCCCGTCTGCAGGTCTGCCAGCCTGTGGGAGAGGAGATGGCACATGGAGGGGTGTGGTGCGGTGCTGTGGCACACCTTGGGGCCCCCACCAGTGACCTCCTGTAGCTTCTACTGGTGTCCCAGTGCGAGAGCAGTTGGTGTGCAGGGGGGAACAGCAGTGCAGCCTTCCTGGAGCAGCCAGCTCAGGATCGCTGCAGCATCATTCCTGTGAGACCTCTCTAAATAAAGGGCTGAGGTAGCTTTTGAAAGCCTGCCTTCTTTTCCTTTTGTTAATCTGTACATCATGTGGGGAAACAAGGTGGTTTTTTTTCTTGTTTTGTCCTTTTTGAATAGTTAAGTAACAGATACAGTGCTTTTTCTACTGTTTATATGCAAATACATGTATATATTACTTACAGTATGGTTATTTTTGTTCCAGTTGAAGTCTTACTTAATACTATCATCAGTTTTCTGTTTAATGGGTATCATCACATCCCTCTTGTGGGTGGAAACATGACCTTATAGCAGGCTGCAGTAATTGTTTTGTGGTATATTCCCTTGATATGAATCCAGTATCCTCTCACAGCCTGCAGTTCTGAAGCTTCAGTTTTGAAATTCAAATTACTGTAGTTTGCTGGCAAATGCCCTCTTCTATCCTGGCCATACTCTGCAGAGATCAAAAACACATGCTTGAAATTCAGTAAGATGCAGCAGAGCAGCTTTCTTATTGTTTCTAATAATCTCAGTTCTGCTGTACGCTACACCAAGGTGCACCCTGCAACACACTTCTCACTACACACTGCAGAAACGAGAACGGATATACTTCCCATCACTCCACCCAATTATGTTCTCAATTCATCCAGTTAATACTAGCTAGTGTTTATCAGGATGTAGTTGTGCTGTGAACTATTCTGCCTGCAGTTTGCAGTCACCTGTCAGACCCAGACAGCTTCTCTATCCAGCAGTGTGGGCAGCAGGTCAAGAGAGATGGTTCTGTCCTTCTGCTCTGCTTGGGTAGGATCTCAAACAAAGCTCTGCGTCCAGCTCTGGGGCCCCAGCATAGGAAGGACATGGAGCTGTTGGAGAGAGTCCAGAGGAGGCCACAAAGTTTCTCCCAGGGCTGGAGCCCCTCTGCTCTGGAGCCAGGCTGGAGAGCTGGGGGTGCTCACCTGGAGAGGAGAAGGCTCCAGGAGAGCTCAGAGCCCCTTGCAGGGCCTCTCCAGGAGAGCTGGAGAGGGACTGGAAATAAGGGGGAATGGTTCCCCACTGCCAGAAGGTTAGATGAGATACAGGAAAGAAATTCTTGTCTGAGAGGGTGGTGAGTGCCTGGCCCTTAGAAAATGGAAAAGGGCAAATCTAACTTTAATAAGGCGAGAGAAGAGAACCTCAAAAGTACCAGAATGGAAGGATTTCTCTGATCCCTAGAAGGGTAGAACAAATGGTTAAACAAGTCCTTCACAAAGAAGATACATCTCAGCCTAGGATTAAAAAGAGTTATAGGCATGGGAGGGAGGTGTTCTGCCCTGCTGGCAGTATTATGCCTAAGGTACACATGTGAAGGGTGGCCAAGATGTCCTTGATCCTGCCTCTCTGTAGCTCCTTTGAATTTCCTGCCTCTTCCCATTTCTATGATTATGTTCACAGAATTCCATTATTTACTTTCCTGATGTTTTAATTTTATTATGTGGCTTTAAAATGCAGTAATATGACTGCAAGTGAAATAAATTCCCTGTTGGGATGTTTGGGTCAACACTTTGTGTGAGCAGACAGCCTGGCTCCTGTTCTGCATGAGGCGAAGCTGAGTAATGTTGGATGGGACAAAAAGTGCACCCTTGAGCTGCCAGGGATGCTGGCAGCCATGGGAAGCATCCCAGAAGGCAAGTAGATTCACTGTCGCTGTGCCAGAGCTAAATGACTATCATTTATTTGGGCAGCTAACCGAAGAGGCAGCAAAGTTACACCAAGATAAGGAAGCAACACCCAAACTGTTTGTGAAAGATTTGTGGCTTGGCTCCCTCTGGGACTGTGCTTAGTTCTGATGGCTGCACCCCCTGGAGTTAGCTTTATTGCTCGTGCAAACATAATTTATTGTCAGAAGGGAAGTAAGTGCTGTGTGGGAAGGAGATGAAAGCAGCTGAGACTCTAAAATAGACATTTAAAACCTTGTAACCCTTAAATGTTTGCTGTCCGGTGGTTCCAGCTAAATTCAAGCTCTTAATTCTTCTACAGATCACTTGCATTTCCTTGTGTATTTTCTAAAACTGATGACTTGCACACTGCTCACAGAAGTCTTTCCCACAGGACTTATGCTGTGTCTATGAGCTGGAGTCTGCAGTGGCCTCTAACATGTTGCAGCATGGGCAGATGGTAGGTTGCTGAAACCTTCCTGAAGGGTCTCCACAAGGAGCGCACTCCACGAAGCACACAGCAAATACCACACACACGCAGCAGCTGGTTATGTGAGACAGTGGAGGCAGGGAGAGTCTTTTTACAGGTCTCTGGTGGTAGTTTATTTCATCCACACACTGAAAGGGTCCAGGGATGAAGACAAGGAGAGGTGGAGGGTCCAGGACTATGAACTGGTACAAAGGGGCAGAACCAACAGCAACCACCAGTCACCTGAAGGTGTGGGTGAGAACAGGATTACAGTGACCAAAGGGAAACACAAGGGTAAACAGACAGGGGTACAGACCAACGAGGGTACAGAAACACAGAGACTGCTAGAACCTTGATCATACATGGTTAACAGGCGGTTGAACGGCCGAGGGACCAACAGCGGGAGTGGCACTGGGGTTGACTGACAGCATGTCACAGGAGTCCGTGGGAGAGGTTAAAGTTTAGGGGACATTCTTCCAGGGCATAGCCCCATGAAGTCCCCTAGCAGGCCCACAGGCCTCCACAACTCCCCTTTCTTTATTTATTAAAAAGGCCTCTCCTATGGATTTCTGTAAACATTTAACTAAACAGGAAAACATAAACAAGACTATGACTACAACAACTAAAATCCCCACAATTCCTTTTACAAAAGATAAAGCCATCCGCCCATCTGAGCGGACCATCGCACCCCAGCAACTCTCCTTCAAGGATGCCCCAAGAAGTCTAAGGGACCTGCACTAACCCATGCCCAGTACTGGGCTTTACTTCACACAGGCTGCACACCATCCTCTCATTCATTCCTGACTGTGGGGGTCAGATGAGGCCCAGAGCTGGCACAGAGATGACTTTCATGTGAGGACGTGTACCTGAAGTGGCTTTGTTCCCTTCCCACAGCTTTGCAGAATGTCAGTTTGCCAAATCAGTCAACTGTTTATTTACACACCTCTTTTAAGGGGAGGATGCTCTGACAGCTTTATTTGCTTCCTATCTTCAAAGAATTCTCTTGTTTGGGTTTCTTTTAAATAATTAGCTGAGTATTTTTTTCATGGGTACAATTTGATTTGTGCTTTAGATAAGGAGCCAAGTGCAGTGTTGAACATGTTTGTGAAGCTGGTTGTTCATTCTCCAGAATCTGTGCAAGATTTACCAGGACTATTTGTGATCAGTATACATGGACTTATTCTACATGCCCATTATTCCCTTGTGCCAGATACATAATTTTTTCATTATCTGCATCAACTTCTTGTTTTACTAATGCTGTTAAAATTTGCAGTGATAAGGTATCAGAGCAGAACCAGGGGTGTGTAATTTGCCAGGTACGAGGTGAATATACAGGAAGTTAAAACTCACCAGGGCTTTCCAGACCTGTGGGTGCTCCAGGCTGTCATAGAATATCCTGAGCTGAAACGGACCCCGAGGGATCATGGAGTCCACCCCCTGGTCCCTGCCCAGACCCCCCAACAACCCCACCCTGGGCATCCCTGGCAGGGTGTCCAAAGGCTCCTGGAGCTCTGGCAGCCTCGGGGCCGTGCCCGTTCCCTGGGGAGCCTGGGCAGTGCCAGCACCCTCTGGGGGAAGTTTCATCCGAGCCAGTTCTGTTCCCATTTCACGCTTTGGCTTAACTGGTTAGGAATAAAGAGCTGGGAATTTGAAGCACAGCTTCTGCTTTTGTGTTTGGAGTCAGAGAACTTTTTTCTTCATCTCCTTCTAGCCAACAAAGTAATCATACCAGTAATCATACTCTGACTATATAAATAAGATTGGAAAATAACCCATTTTATATGCAAAGCAACTCTAGAAATTATTAGCATACACACAAAAAGCCTTCACAGCTCTGAACAAACAAACATCTTGGTTTTCAGAGCTAATTACACGTCCCCTAAAATCACCAGCAAATTGCTGCTGACTGCCAGGCGCAGAGGAGCAGCCGCCCATCGCTCCCGGCGGAGCTCTGCCGGCTGTCACAGCTGGACTCGCTCCCTCCCTGTTTACTTTCGCTTCTCCAAGTTGCCCGTGACCTCCGCTTCTCCCGTCAAGGAGAATTGCCCTGCGGCCGCTCCGCGTGGGACGTGTGCCGGGTACGGCACACACCCACCCTGAAACCGATGGACCATGCTCTACAGAAGCTGTAAGTGCACATTTGTAACGAGGAATTTGAGCAAAACAAGGGTCTGAAAGGTGCAAATCTGTGGGAACAGGAGTTCAAGGACAGAGGGGCAGTGGCTCTGACGGGAGTGGCCAGCCCGTCACTGCCTTCACATTTCTCCCCCTTCTTAGAGCTGGTTTTTGTGAATTATTGACTGAAACTTACTGAAGGGAGCCTAGTGCGCCATCTGACCTTTTAATAAATACTTTATTGTATTTTCTTAAGCACAAAGAAAGACTGTTAGAGGAACTGCTTGTGCTATCTAGATTTAATTTGTTGCTAAAGAGATTCAGTCCTCTGGCGGTGGGAAAACAACAAAGCGTATTGTGATCCAACAGTTAAGAGATAAAACAAAACACTACATGATAATGTTGCCAGGACAAGGCTGCCATTTACTAAGTCGAATAATTCAGTCAAATAAACAAATCGGTCGCTTTAGCGGGGGGAAACAGTACTGGCTTTTGAGATTAGCTAAGCAGGAAATCAGTCTGCTGGGAAATAAAACGTCGTGCAGGTCACTTCGCATGGCCGCTAAATTCGGAGGCACAACTCTGGAACGAATCAGAGTTTTGGAAGGGCACTGGGCTCTGCCCGGCCGCGGGGGCTCGCTCGCCCCGGGGCGGTTTGACGGGCGCCTTTCTCGCCTCGCTGTTCGCGTCGTTCGCCGTCACCGCGGCCGGGATGCGGCTTCCCCGCCCCGCTGCGCGCTGTGGCTCTCACGGGATGTGACTGTCACCAAGGGAGGGCGTTCGGGGCCAGCCCCACTGCCCGCTGTGGCTCTCACGGGATGTGACTGTCACCAAGGGAGGGCGTTCGGGGCCAGCCCCACTGCCCGCTGTGGCTCTCACGGGATGTGACTGTCACCAAGGGAGGGCGTTCGGGGCCAGCCCTCCCGGGAGCACGGGCACGGCGGCGGCCTCTGCTGTGGAGGTGTGGCTCCGCAAGGATCCGTCTGTGCAGAGCGAACCTGACAGCGATCCTGCTGCAGAGGTCTTGCGTGCCACGGCCATGAGGAGGAGATATGTTTAACCTCTGCTTCTTGTGTATTTATCTGAGTCTGCAGGACAAAAATATCTCCAGGCAGTGTGGCACTGTACATCGCAGTTTTCCTGAGGGATTGATTTTCGCTTCCATTTCACTCACTGTGCTTTGAATTAGTGTGATGAAAAACATTTAGATTTAGAGATTTCAGTCCCTATCACACTAAGATTACCAGGTTTTCTGTTTTATGGTTTAGATTCCAGTAGTTTAAACAGTTCTAAAAGCTTTTAAATTTAAAGCCTCTAAAATTTCTAAAA